CTCAATAATAATATGGACATCATTTCTTTGGGCTATGTAGGTATACGGAAACTGTCATTACTTTGGAATAACTCGAATAGTTTTCCTGCATTGCAGTCTAATGCTTAGACATATATGTTTACCGTTGTAGAAAGCTCTTGCTCAGAACTGATGTATTCTTATTTATGCCTTAAAATATTTGTAAATAGTTACTCACCTTAAAGTCACATATATACGTCATGTCACATCTATCAGTAGCTGGAGGCAGCCTTTTAAATATGCACGTTCCTAAAAGAACAAACGATTTAGAGGGAAAGTTAAAGGAAGAGCCATATAAAGAGAGGGTAGGATAGGGGGAGAAAGTAAGAGAAAGAGAAAGAGAAAGAGAGAAAAAGAAAGGGAAAGAGAGAGAGAGAGACAGAGATAGAGATAGAGGGAAAGGGGAAAATTGTTATGGTGAGTGTATGTAAAGCGATAAAATTTATAAGGCTTACTTGAATTCATGAGAATCGCATAGTAAGGCGTTTTTCAAAAATTTGTTTCTTTTTTGGGAAGTTTTCACCACAGCGACTCGAGCAATCAAACTATGTGATGTCTTAGGTATAAGGGAACATGCATGTATACATACATATATAGTAACGCATACATAAGCACTCATACATACATACGTATATACAAACGTATGAGAGAACATGGCGGAGAAACATCTTCATTGAAATTTTACTCTTAAAAAATATGGGTTCGTTGTAGACCACACAAAAGTCAAAATTGTTGCATACACCAGTATTCCGCACATTTTATGAACATGGGAGCATTGCACATGTTCAATATATTTTATGCAGAGCTTTGCAAAAAAGTTTAAGGTCGTACAAACGCAACTTGCCAACTTTGCTCGTTGAGCCGTTGACCTCGAGGGAGGGAAGGGTGGCTGTGTTTCTGTTGTGTTTATGCATACTCAAATCAGACGCACCTTGGAGCTGGTCCGAACACTCTGGACCTAATCAATCTTAGTTCTTTCTTCTGTGGCTGCCATGCATTTGTGTTGCATACTTTCAGGCGGTCGCAAAAATACAAAAGTTACTTCTACAGCGGATAAAGCGCCATGGCACAAGCGTGTTTTTGGGTTCCCAAATCAAGGGGCCGCTCTAAGTAGCGGGGGCGGGGCGCGATGTTTGAAAATGGCACGCCTCATTTAACTGGAAATCGCATTAAAACGCGTTAAAAACACATTAAATCACACGTTATCAATTACATGTGTGGGTTGGTGTGTGTGTGTGTGTGTGTGTGTGTGTGTGTGTGGGAGCTTGTAGGCCGACATGCGAAGCTATTGCTATCAGCTCGACAATACGTTAAATCCGTGTAAGCCAGAGAGAACAGCTGCGTCGGCCGCGGGGTGAATCTTCATCATCAACATAAAAGGCTGTCAACGACGGCAGGCAGCGCATTTGAAATTTCAATTGTAACGTTTGCCTTACGCAAATCCGCCAGCTTCATTGAGGCGTGCAACTGAGCGTCAGCCACGCCCCCACACTCACAACAATTCTGGCCGCTTGGCTCATTCAGGGCGTGGCACGTGCAATAATTGGCCCGTGTGGCAGCGGCAAAGCCGCGTATACTCAACGTATTTGTAATGTAAAGCAGGCCAACGCGGGGGCCTGGAAAAAGCGTGCGATTTTTTTCTTTCTTTTTGTTGTTGTATACTTTGCCGTATTTGTTATTGACATTTGCATATGCCTGGGGCGACGTTTATTGTTTTTCTTTTTTGGGCCATTTTTACATGTGATTAAAGTCAATTGCAGGCGGCTTGTAATCAGCACATTTAATCAGAAGGAAATTTATTGCAATCGTTTAACTCAACATTGTGTAAATCTGTTTGCAAAGTTTTTCTGAAAAACAGGCAGGCGGAAGATAAAAGTCCTTAAATGTGGGCGTAATTATGTTTGTCGCACGCCCGCCCATGCCAGTAAAAGTAAGCCGCTGCCAAAGCCAAAGTTGACATTCAGTTGTGTGTGTGTGTATGTGAGTGGGGGCAAGTTGTCTGCGCCTTCGAGTCAAACTAATTCCGAGCTATGGCGCTGACTCGACTCTCTCATGCAAAATTGAGTTTGTTATGCGCCAAGGCACAAATAACACTCATTAGCCATAATGAGTTATACTCGTCGTTCGGACTACATTTAGTTGGCTCTTTAGCGGCCATTATGCGGATGGTGTTTTGCTTTTTATGGCCAGGGCCGCAAGCCCGAATCCGATGCTGGTGCACGTCAAGTTTTTCAGCTATTAATAAACGGCCAGTGGACGCCTCGGGCATACGCCTTAAATAGATCCCAGTTGATGCGGTTGGAGGGGGTCGGGGCGTGGGCGGCATCCACCGCAAATTGTTTGACATTTGGCACTCGCTGTCAAGCCTTTCACTTTGCCTCCTGTTATTGTCACTTGCCAGCAGCAGTTTCAGTTATTTTAGCCAAAGTTTTCCGTCACAGCAGCAGCATCAGCAGCAGTAGGACGAACTTTTGTTGTTAATTCGCTCAAGTTTCTGGCAAGTATTTACGTGCCCCTCCAGAACATTCATTTGCCAGAGACAGAGTCTGAGGCTGAGACTGAGACTGAGACTGCAACAGCGCCTGCCCGACTGCGTTGGAGAGCTGGCAGACGAGCCAGCCGCATAACCAGGCAGCCGATTACAAGTACCCGGAAAGTTTAACATGTTAATGGCATAGTTTAGGCAAATGTTTTCACTGGCGCAACCCAAAAACACAAGCCAAGCCCGTTAAGAAAATCCGTATATGTACATATTTCCTATGTATTTGCCTGGCCCAAAAACAAACACACACAAAGATTCGCCCTCACATTTTCCCACAGAGAAATTAAGTTTCACTCGCCACATTGAGATCCCAGCCGCATAATGTGCCATTGCCATCGCCAACGGCTACGTTAAGTGACTTTCTTATGTTGCTTGTAAAATTTCTAGCTTTATATGAGTCTCTGCATATGTGTGTGTGCGAGTGTGTGTAAATGCCAAAGATTTTGCAGACTATGAAAGCCTGTAATTTAGTTGAGTACATTTCTGTGCGCCGACGCCAACGGCCCTTGCCAAGGCCACGTGGGTTAGTTAGTTAACGGAAAAGCGATGGAAATGTTTTGGAAAAACGGATGGATGTGGGGCGTGCGTCCAACTCAAAACGTTGACAAAAAGTTTTCCGGGCAAATGCATAGTTGCGTATTTTTCGATTTACTTGAAATTTGACAATATGCGCAAAAACTTTTGGGTTGCGTCCGCCCGTCATAAGGAAACTATTAATTCCACGCCAAAGTTCTCAACTATTTTCTCGGCGAAGACACTTTCTTTAACTAATTTCAGTTTAAAGCTAAACGAATCGAGCCTTAAAGTTGGCCTTAATTTTTGTATGCCTGTTGTCCATTTTTGAAGACGTTTTTTGACACATGCAGCTACTACATGGTCTTGTCCAAGTTGGGCTCCATCAGGTGTAGTGGCCACTTGTGGCTGTCACAGCAGCAGCAAAAAGTGTATTAACATTTAACATGGCAACAAATTGCAGACGGGCAGCGGGCAGCAGGAGAAGGCGGGCAGCAGGTGGAAGAGGGGAGAGGCTGAAGGCGAGCAGCAGCAAGAGGAGCCAGGCAGCAACAGGACACGGGCAGCTAAATCCCAAATAAGCAAAGAAAGAGCCGGCGGGTAGGACGATTACTGCGATGCACAGAGCCAATGGAATGGGCCACTTGAGCTGTGTAAGTTGCTCCAAACTAAATAAAGTGACTTGCTGGACTTTTTCGAGTTGGAGTTTGCATGACTTACACAGTTGGAGAGCGACAGATAAAGTCGCAGCCCAATGATAATGACGACAACGACGATGATGATGATGATGATGCAGATGATAAAGATGGTTATGATGATGGTCTCGACAGATTGGCGACAGAAACTGTTGCAAGCTCAAAGTAAATGAGGCAACTGGCGAAATATAATTTCTGACTTGGCAAAAGATACAGCTGAGTCTGCTTAACGTTCTAAATGTCTGGCCAGGCAGTCGAGCTTAAGCACAAAAGTAGTTTCATTGCAAATTTCGAGTTGGGTTTTCTTTTTTTAAAAGTGCGCAGCAGGGGATGCGGCGCATGAGTTGGCTTCCCTTGATTAAAAATTAAAGCAGCTCTCATATTTGGTGAGCGATTTAGTACCTGCTACGAAATGAATTTACACAGCAAGTGGGCGTGGCAGCGGCAGCGGTACGTGCTTTGCATACGCTCCATCAGCGGCATCCCAAACTAGTTGCCAGTCCCGAGGCGTTTGCTGAATGTGTTTGTGAGTGAGCCAAATGCGTGTTGTTATAAATTCAAATCAACTTAGTGCCTGCGCCCAACATCATCATCGAAATCGATTTGCGCCCAGACTCCTGCTGCTCGTGGGTCCCAACAGCGGACCTTCTTCCGCAGCTGACCTTTGGCTATAAATTGGTCGGATTGCCAGTTGGCCCTTTTTGGTTGGCCGATGTTGGCCGCTTGGTTCGCCATTTTACAATGTTACAATGTTGGCTTTACAGATTCAACATGACTTAGCGCCGACTTAAGCGCATTAGGCCCGGCCAAAGCCCGGAAAGTCTTTTAATGTCTTATCTTGGTGCAAATAAATAAAGGAGCGGCAACAACAACAAACCGGGTTAGCAACAGCCACGCGGCAATATCCACTAAAAAGAATACCCAGGCTAAATTAATGTACACGCTTCAATTAGCTAAGACTCCCACTGGCAGTGCATATATGTGTGTGTATTAGTCAAGCAATCCGCAAAACACAAGGCTAATTTCATAACGAATTTTAGCTGCCACTGGCAGGATGCCATGTGGCAACTTCCGGTGCAGCGGAACCACTTGGCATATTAAGCCGCTGGACGTTGAGTGGCTTCCGCTGCGCCATTGTTTCGGGAGCTTAACAAGTGAATTTCGCCAGCTTATGATTTGCATTCGGTGTGCATTCACGTGCCGCGATGTAATGCAATTGACTTTGGCATTATTTCTGGCCATTAGTTTCGCATGCGAATCAAGATGGTGAACAGCGAGTAGGCGAACTTGAGTGTGGAGAAGAAGGTGCTCACGTGAATGGTTAGCATCCCACCAGCCATGGGTACGGTGCGCTTCAGTGAGCGCTCCACGAAAAGCATCAGCTTCTTCTTGAAACTCCGACTCTGTGCCAGCCAATTGCAACTGAAGGCCGCATAGTGCAGCTTGCCAAACCAGAGCTCGATGTCTGTGCCATAGTAGCAGGTGGGAAAGATTTGCAGCGGAACACCCAGCGAATAAAATATGAGATATGTGAGTGTCATCGGCTCGGTAACAAAAAAGAGCAGCCCCGCAATGCTAGTACATATATTCAGCCCAGTCACCGCGAACTGAATCAGCATGGGCAGCGACATGAAGGACTCAATGGTGCGAAACAGTCTGCAAACGAACAAAGGAAATTAAATACTGCAGAGGATGCATTCGCGATGTAACCTACTCCAGCAAACGCTTGTGATCGGTTATGCATGCCTCCAGCTGATCCTCAGCGTCCTCGGCTTCATCCACTCCCACCTGCTCGAAGCGCACGTAGAGCATCTTTATATGAGCTGAGATCAAGCACAACATTACGGCTGGGAAACAGTCGTTCGCATAGTTCTGCGTCAACTGAAAGCTAACGCCCGCAATCTGAAACGCACTGGCGATGTAGAAGTTGCGCGTTGAGTTGAGCCAATCAAATGGAAACCAGCCAGGATACATGAGGCTGCGTTCTGCCTTGAATATAAAAGCCAAATCGGCAAAAACTCCAGCAGGCAAATAGATGCCAATGAAGACATAGAGAATGTTTCTCAGCTGGGCTTTCAGGTTTTTGTAGATGGTTTTCTCTGCCGCACTCTTGATCCGCAAGTCCAGCTGACTCAGCAGTTGCTCCATTTGCTTCACCTTATCAAGGTTGTAGGCATATATTGCGGTCTTTAGGGAACATGCCAAGCAGGTGGCGAATGTCGTTAGGTTCAAGACATCATCCGAGAGGTTCTTGTTTCTAAAAACCGATAATCCCAGATGCAGCGGAAAGCCGATGCTGACGAACAGGTTTAACATGAGACTATAGACGATGTAGAGTTGTGTCCATTTGGTCTGCCTGAAGGTTAATCCAACTAGTTTCCAGACTGCCCAGTGGCTTTTAAAGAAACTTAAGCTATTGATGAGCATGGTGAACGGCTCAAAGTTCTGACTCGGATTCTTTTGGTAGAGGTGGTTCCTTTTTATATGGTTTTAGGACATGTTTTTAATGATTATGTAATTACATAATTATAATTGGCGTTTGCGTGGCCCTATCAATTATTATACCCTAAAACATCTTATAAGAGGAAGTCACTGTTTTTAGCAGACAAGAAAAAGCTCCACAGATATAACAAAGAGCCAAAAATGCGAATAAGCATCAGCGACCGTTTCTAAATATCATATCGACCATACAATATCGACATAAATGAAGCTTTGTGACTCCTTATAAACATTTATCTAAATTTTTAGGTACAATCAAATTATTGTTTGATCTAAATAGTACAATTTATGGGGTATCTCTCAGTCGATCACTTTAGATTCAAATATTTGTAGTTGCTTTTGTTATAATTAATATTTAACAAGTAAGAGGTTCTAGTCGGGTGCTCCCGACTAGGGGATACCCTGAACCCTCTTCTTCCGACAGGCGATAGGTATAAAATAAAAAATAATTGATATATATCTACTATTCTAGAAGCTACATGTCAAGTTTGGTGGCTCTAGCTCATATTATCTGCCGAAATTGTTCAAAAAACAGGAATTCGATATCGATTTTTATCGATTACTTTGAAACGGGGAAAGTTATCGAATATCGGAAACAAACTCGATCTACGCGGGCACTAGGAAAGCCTACAGCCAAAATTTCAAGTCTCTAGCTCTTATAGGTTTTGAGAATTTTGCATTCTTACATACGGACAGATGGACAGACGGACGGACGGACAGACGGACGGACGGACAGACGGACAGACGGACGGACGGACAGACAAACGGACATGGTTAGATCGACTCGGCTGTTGATACTGATCAAGAATATATATATTTCATGGGGTCTGATATGCTTCCTTCTGCCTGTTACATACATTTGCACAAATACATTATACCCTTTTTACCCATTTTTAATGGGTTCAGGGTTTTAAAAGCGACTAGCCCAGACCAGCTGGTATTCTTCACACTCTATAATGCAGACAGATCGATTATAGTTTTAGTTTTAGTTCTGGGTTCAAGTGCACTGCAGGGAGTTGTAAATGAGAATCTATATAATTTTTGAGAAAAATCGCAGACAAAAAGCAGATAATATTAACTTTCCAGTAAAGAACAGCGAATCTTCGCTTAAAACACTATTAAGCAGAGCAATCTTACTTTAATTATTTATAGCTTCACTTATACACTTAACAATGAGATGGTATTATAAAGACAAAGAAGGACGAGCTGGCAAATCGGATTGGCTCAAATGTGTGCAGAAAACTGTCGGTTTGTTGGAATGCAAGATAAATATAATAACAACAAGTAAGAGGTTCTAGTCGGGAGCTACCGACTAGGGGATACCCTGAACCCTCTTCTTCCGACAGGCGATAGGTATAAAATGAAAGATACTTGATACATATATATACTATTCTAGAAACTATATGTCCAGTTTGGTGATTTTAGCTCTTATTATTTACCAAAATTGCTCAAAAAACAGGATTTCGATATCGATTTTTATCGATTACTTGGAAACGGGGCAAGTTTTCGAATATCGGATACAAACTGCAATCTGCGCGGGCCCTAGGAGGACTACAGCTAAAGTTTCAAGTCTCTAGTTCTTATAGATTCTGAGATCCTTGCGTTCATACATACGGATAGACGGACGGACGGACGGACAGACGGACGGATAGACAGACGGACGGATAGACAGACGGACGGATAGACAGACGGACGGATAGACAGACGGACGGATAGACAGACGGACGGATAGACAGACGGACATGGCTAGATCGACTCGGTTGTTGATGCTGATGAAGAATATATATACTTTATGGGGTCGGAGATTCTTCCTTCTGCCTGTTACATACATTTGCACAAATACATAATACCCTTTTTACCCATTTATATTAAAAGCTGGTATGAATTGAACTTAAAATTGCAAATAATATTCCCAATTGTAGGTGAACGCTAGAGCATTTAAATGATCAACGAAAAAGGGACTTCCATCAAGCAACGCCTCAATAAAATTTGTGCAAAGTAACATCAGGCTCTGGAACTGGACCACTATCTTTTACTTTAAGCTCTTGAGATAAATGTGTACAACAAAACACACACACATACACACATACGCATACACATACGCACACGCACAAACACATCGTATTTCCTATAGCACCGTTGTCTGCAGAAAAAAGTTTTGTTTTATTAACTTTCTCTGTCTCTTTTACTTTCTCTCTCTCGTTAGCTCTTTCATTTAGTAATCGCCTTTTGAATAGATATTTATGATTTCAAATAAAAGTTAAAACTTCGTTTGTGTTTCAAGTTAGTTTGAGTGTTCCATTGAGAACTAACTCTACTTTTGGAATTATCTAACTGATGTACTTTAAATTGTCATATGTCATATTATAATATTTGTGAATATATATTTATAGATTTATTTTATAGACAAATCACTTAAGTAATGTGTAAGTATATGCTCACTTATGTTCACATTGTCAAAAGCTTTATCAGGTTTATAGATACGACCTTTAGGACTTCAGGATATGCTGCATTTATGAATATATGAGCTAATTTTACAGCCAGAAATAAATACAACCTGTCGTTAAATGAAGAAACGTTTTTCGCCTCAACTAAACATCAAACTTATCCTAATTGAAAATTAGAATGTCGGAAATCCCTAGATGTAAAATTCTATAATCTAAGTGAAAGTAAATATCAATAAAAAGATGTCTGCCAAGTTTTTTTCATGCACACAAAATTTTAATAAAAAACTGCAACGACCGTATCTCCGTACCTTAAAGACTTTGGCCAAGAACTTGTGAAATCTTTTTATTAGCTGACTAAATTATAAATTTATACAAGTATTTAAAATCAACTTTGCCATGCCACTTTTCTAATGGCCAGGCATAGAATAAATTGCAATATAAATTTCCAATAGTTTTTAATGTGTTGCATTAGTTTTAAATGCAAGGTTCTTATTATGGTAAGTATTAATGCGAGTTTGTACATATGTCTATATATATATATATATAGATCTATTTATAGATATATCTTGGTTATTCAGTTATATGTTCATAACATTTATTTTCGCATGCGTATTATGATGGTGAATAGTGAGTAGGCGAATTTGAGAGTTGAGAAAAACGTGTTCACATGAATGCGTAGCATGCCACCAGCCAGTGCTGTGCTCCCTTTCAATGAGCGCTCCACAAACAGCATCAGTTTCTTCTTAAAACTCCGATGCTGCGATATCCAATTGCAGCTGAATGCCGAATAGTGCAGATTTCCAAACCAGAGCTCATTGTCTGTGCTGTAGTAGCAGATGGGAAAGATTTCCAGCGGCATGGCCATTGCGTAGAAGAAGAAATATACTATACTCACGGGCTCGGTAACAAAAAAGAGAAGCCCCGCAATGCTAATGCAGACATTTAACCCAGTCACAGCGAACTGAATGAGCATCGGCAAAGACATGAAGGACTCGATTGTCTGAAACAGTCTGTAAGCAAATACAACTACATAAATACCGCACTCCGAACAGGTTGAGATGTTACTTACTCCAACAAACGCTTGTGATCGGTTATGCATGTCTCCAGCTGATACTCAGCGTCCTCGGCATCGTCCACTCCCACCTGCTCTAAGCGCACGTAGAGCATTTTAATGTGAGCCGAGATCAGACATAAGACTACTGCCGGAAAACAATCATTCACATAGTTCTGCATCAATTGGTAACCAATTCCCACAATCTGATACACGTGGGCAATGTAAAAGTTTCGTGTGGAATTGACACAATCGAAAGGAAACCAAGCCGGATACATGAGAGAAGGCTCATCCTTGAAAATAAATGCCAATTCGGCAAAAACACCAGCAGGCAGATAGATGCCAATGAAGACAAACAGAATGTTTCTCAGCTGGGTTCTCAGCTGGCTGTAGATGGTTTTCTCTGCCGCACTCTTGACCCGCAAGTCCAGTTGCCTTAACAGCTGCTCCATTCGCTGGACCTTGTCAAAGTTGTAGGCGTAAATGGAAAACTTAAGCGAGCAGGCGAAGCAGGTAGCAAATGTCGTTAGGTTCAAGATGTCTTCCGTAAGGCTGGCGTTCTTAAAGAGCATTAAGCCCAGATGCAGCGGATACCAAACGGTTACCAACAGGTTAACCGCGAGACTATAGACTATGTAGGGCTGCATCCATTTGGTCTGCCTGTAGGTTACTCCAAGTACACTCCAGACTGTCCAGTGACTCCTGAAAAAACTCAAGCTGTTGATGATCATGGCGTTGTCCACCTTCGACGTTCTGCTGCTGATTGAGCCATTTGCTGGTGTCTCAATATTCTAAATTGATTCTATAATTGTTTTTAAAATTGATTATGTAATTAAGTAATTATAGCCACGCTAGCGTGTGTCCGCATCAATTACAATAATTACAATTTCAATATAAAATGCTTTCCCTTTGAACTAACAAAACTTTTTCGGCTGGGCCAGCATTTAAATTCCATTTAGCCGTATATCCGGCAGTTCGCAACCGTGATTCCATTCAAAAGCATTTTTTTTGTGCCAATTTTTACGATTTGTTTTTAATTCACTTTTTTTTTGCCCATTTGCAGCTGTAATAATTCAGGTTGAACTGTTTGGCATTTAATATAATTTAAGACCAATTTATCGGCTAAATAGTATTATATATTAAAATTGTCGAAATTGTTTGAAATATGCCAAAACAGATTAATTGAGAATTCTGTTGTTGCTTTATTAAATTCAAGGCGGAAACTAGGAATTTAAAGTAAGGGTATAAGTTCTGCCTCTGTGAATTTAAAAACAAAATGAGGACTGTCAAATATATGCAAATCCTGACATAGATGTAAACAATATGTTCTTCTATATTTCTATCTTAACGTTGTTTGAGCAATTGTATGTACTGTAATTAAAGTGGAATAATTCTCCACACAATTTTTTGCTGGCCATTTCGTGTGCTTTTTTCCTTCCACATAGTCTGCTTTAGCCAGTTACATTCTGTTTATTTACTCTTTGTAATACTTTGTTATATCATACGCTTGTTTTTTGTCAAAGTTTTACTTCCTGCGAATTGCTGGCACCAGGCAAAGGATGTTGCTTCATGGCCACATTGAGGAAGAATAGCCAATGTTTACCAACGGGCTCAACGAAACTGTATGCGATGCATAGTTTGTGTTTGTGTTTGTCTCTTGAGCCTTTAATATGATTGATAGCCGAGTTTACGTTTTTAGATGCAAACCTCCTAAAAATCCAGACTTTTTTTTTCGAATATTGCATAAACGAAACAAAGAACCACTTTAGGACTTTCATGTGATTACATTGATTGTATCTATCTTCCGTAAGCCGAAGATTAAAGAAGTGTGGCTAAGAAATGGGTTACTTTAAATTGATTATTCGCATAGAGGCCATATAGAATGGCAGCCCGATCTGATGATGATATCTTGAATGGGGAAAAGGTTTTAATACAAGATCCTAATAGCGAACGGTTGTATCTATGTCCGTCAGTATAGAGAGAGAGATAAACATGGCTACGAATATATATACCCGCAGAAGAATAAATATACCCTTAAAAAGTCGGATAGGTCGCAAATTTACCGACAAAATTATAATGTCCTCTATGGAAAAACACATGAAATCATAGAGCAAAGTTTCAGGTTTGCAATGCGACAACTTTGCTTTGTGGCAGCACACATGGATAACAACAACAAAAAAAGTAAAAGAAAATATGCGAAAAAAAGTGCTTTTGATAATTAATAAAACAGACACGAGTGCTCGTTTGGATTTTGTTGCCATTGTCAGCGGTTTTGTCGCATGTCAAATATACAGCGCAGCGCTTAAAAGTGTGCTACAGAATTTATGTGCGCTCATTGTCGAATTTCGCATGACATTTTCCCACCCTAGAGCAGCCAAAAAGTTATGGAGCTTTTGATAAGTTGATGGTTGAATTTGAAAACTAAAGCAAACGCGCTGCCAGCTCTGACGGACCCGGAATCGCGTTGATGGGCCATGCAATTAGCATGCTCAGGCAAATACGCACACGACCGTTCACATTGTGTCAACCAAAAACATGTTGCAATATTGGTGGCAGACCCATAAATTGTTGCACGAATATCAAAATGGCGGCTTGCCAACAACAAAATATGTACACATATGCATACATGTATGTGTTGTGCCACACCATATTCGCATTGCCGGAATCGCAAAGCGTGCTCTTAATTTGTGCGGCACGTCATTTCATTTGCGCTTTCGCCAAGTAACCTTGGCTTCAAGCCATTTTCACTGTGTGTGCCAAAAAGTTTGCTTAAACCATGGCAAAAACCATGCTAGACTCCAGGGCAGCCGCGACAGACTATTCAAACCAGAATCCAATTACTCGCAAATGCAGAAAGAATTTTGTTCAACAGATCCGTTCGGTGTTCGCCGGCAACCCATTGTCATAAAAACACAATTAGATGCGCCATTTCCACTATTTTCTTCTTTTTTTTTCGAATTTATAAACTATCATATTGTATGCATATCTATGTATTTTTACCCTAACGCTGACTACAGCCATTAGCTTGGTCACGAGCTTTGGCAGATCAGCTTTGAAGAGAGCCAATTAATAAAGTCATTTTGTTTGATTTTACTTTGAATATTGCACATTAAGAAATGAGGATTGAGATTTTAAATAACTATTAAATCAGCTGCAATCAATAATACTTCAACCAGAAATAAGTATTGAATTGATTTTAAAGGTGTTTTAAAGCATTTAATAATATTTTACTTTCGCTATCTTTCGCCTTGCAATATCAAAAGAGTTATTTTTAGAGCTTTCACAAAAACCTTTCGTCAAAACAAATTTTGCTATCGACTCTAGAATTGCAAGCGCCTTGTCCGCTTTTCCAAGCTTCAACTTGCTAAGAATTGCAAGTGAATTGATATTCACGTAAAGGCAGCTTTAGCACCTTTTCTCATTAAGAGTTTTAATCATAATAACTTAAATAAGGCACTTAAAATGATGCTTGGCATGCATTATGCCGGTGAACCGGTAGACCATGAATTTTTGCAGGCAGCAAGCATGCAGAAAATTCAGCAAGATGCATTAAATAGTTTAGCGACTGAGAGACTGGAGAATGTGTGAGGGGATGGTGCAGTGAATTCCGAACCGTACAAATCGCAGCAGATGCCACACGCAGCGGCCATCGTCGGCAGCGCTGCTGACAGAAAATGAGCTCGACAACAATGTAATTATCATAATTAAAAGGCTGCCCCTGTCCTTAGCTGGCCTTGTCTAACCAGAGCCAAAAAACGGTCACAACGGCCACAAATTTGCTATTAAAAGCAGCCCCATCACATGCAACAACAACAACAACCATGACAACAACTTGGAAAATTGTAGGGCAAGTGCGAAGGGTTGCTCGCATCTGCCGGCGCCGACTGTTGCGGACTACATAATTGAGGCAGTTCCCTAATTGTACACCGCTGCTCATTAATTGCGTCTGTAACGCAGCTCATTTAGTAGTTTGCTGGCAACCTCCGTTACCCTTTGCCCTCTCATAATGCTGCCTTCACCCGGGCATTTGCCAGTTACTCGACTTGTGGCATCCGCGCTGATTAAATCATGATGTAATTATTCCACTTGCAATGCGAGCTCGGCGCCTTGTTATTGTTGTTGCCGTGCCCACTGCTGCACCTGCAGCATTGCATTCTTATCAGTTCTTATCAGTGGGATCAGTATTCACCACACCGGACAATGCTCAACAGCTGTGCCTCTGTAGCTCCGAGTGCTCTGCGCATGCCCTGGAAACTGAGGCTGTGTGTAATCAAAACATAGCATTTCGCTCAGTCGAATGATTTACAATTAAAGAATTCTTTGCAGAGGCGTCTTGCTTAGACGCCGTGTTGCCTTTTCTATTACTTATATTAATTATCATTGTTCGACTTAAACTAAAATTATTTGAATAACTGTCCGTTTGTGGGAGCTCTTTAATTTTAAAATCAACATAGGCTTATCATACAATTTTATACGTTTCTTTGGACGAGTTTTATTTAATTTAATTTTATTATTTCCGCTGCCAGCCTGAACGATAAAAATGTGAATAACAAAGTTTATAACAAACCGTATTTGGATAGCATAAGAAGGCAGAAAGAAAAATAATAATAATAAAATTAATAATATAATAATAGTAATAAGAATATAAATAATAATAATAATAATAACAATAATAGAAATAATAATTATAACAAACTTAATAATAATAAAAATAATAATAATAAAAATGTAAATAATACAAATAATGGAAATAATAATGAAAATTATAATAATAAAATACATTAAAATAATAATAAAAATTTTAAATTTGATTATATATAATTGTACATGCACGCAACAGTTTAATTTTGAAACTGCAGCTTCTTATCACTGGCCAATAACATCGCACTTCCAATGTAATCAGAAAACATCGCAGGAATAAGCCGACAAGTCCTCGCGAGAGAAAGCGAGAGAGAGCGAGAGAAAGGGCTCCAACGAACTTACTAACCTGCCTCAATATCAATCCGTGCTGATGCTTTCACTTTTCGGATGTTCAGCTTTCGCTATTGCTCCACAGACCCACATGTCGGAGCCGAGCGTTTGCTCGTGTCCGGCTCGTGTTCGCCGTGGTGAATTACCGTAGACGACGTTGCCGTAAACGAATCTCGGACTTGGACTCCGGCCAACGATGTGCAGTACGTTTTAAAACGCGGCGGTTCGTAGTTGTGTGCCAGCTGGAGAATCCAGCGTTTAAACCCATAATCAGACAGAGGCTCAGAACCTCACGGACCAGAGTTCAGTAGCGCGAGACTTTAAGGACGTATCAAAGCGCAAAGTGAAAGTGAAAGTATTCGAAAAATATTCGAAAAGTGTGAAATGCAAATGGCGATGACAATGCCTAAAGATATATTATTCTAAGTGGAGCTTAAAATCTGTGCAAATAAACTAGATAAATGTGATATTAAAATACAATCATAGAAAAGGTAAGTAAAGGTTTATTACTTCAGCCCTAAAGGAAAATATTTATTACAAATACCACTCACATGAAACATTATTTAAAAAAGGAAATACTTCGAATTTCTCATATTTTATGTTGGGACAAAATAAAATAGAAGCATAACTTTAAGAGAATTTCAAAGAGGAACAATATTGCAATTCGCCAGAAATGCCTTCAATCTGCATGGTTTGATACGATTTTAGGCCGATCCGGCCTTGTTCGCCTAAGCCCCCAACAGGGCTAGGTACGGCTTTTTGACCTTGTTCAGTTCTTTGCTATTGATTGATCGATTTGCATAAACAAACAATACCAGCAAGTGGAATTTGTGAAGATGTGAAACGCCAATCGTATGGCATGCCATGCATGCATTCAGCCACTCGGTCGTATGCGTAATGCAATTGATATGCAACCGCCCCCTGGCAATTCAATTGTAAATAGGTATTCAATGAATGGAACGCCCAAAGCCCATACATATGTTGTTCGGGCACTTATTATAAAATAATATCCTCCAACTGGCCTTTGAACTCAACTTAACTCAACCCAACTCAGTTAGCTGCACAATTTTAACGTAGCGTGCAAATGCGTTGCTGCTGCTGATGTTGTTGTTGTTGTTGTTGTGCCTTGCATTGGCTGCTGCACGTTGCCACGGCCCGTCGCCATTTTATTCCCCCCGGACAGCAATTGAATAGTGGCGTACATGGGGTTAAAAGGTCTCGATTCAATTCAATTACACTGAGAGCTCGGTTATAAAAAATAAAAACCCGACAGCGCATAAACAGCTGCACACAGCTTGAACCTAATATGTTTCGAAAACACATTCAGTTAAATTGGAGGGGAAGTTGGAAAAAAAAGGCGTGAAATATGTAACTACTACAAACAAATGTTATTCAACAAAAAGAATAGTTGAATATAACAATAATAATATTATTAATTTCTTACAAAGTCCAAAGCCAAGGTTAGAGCAAAACACGCTAATAAAAATATCAAACTATGAACAAATAAAATATAAGTGCAACTTTCTCTCTAACTTGATATACGTATATTTAGAAAATTGTGTTTACATTATCGATAAAATATAAATAATTTTTCAAAATTAACATTTTAAGAATGTATTATTAAAATGAAATGACATTTAAAAAACACAGTCTTTATATTTAACTCTTTAATCTATTCAAAATGTGAGTTTAATAATTGAATTGTTATTGCTCTTTTTAGTTGGATTGTTGAATATCTATCTATTTATTTATTTATCTATTTATATATGTATATCTCTTTATCTCTTTTTACATACTGTGTACACATATGTGCACATATTGTTCTCATTTCACGTCATTAATTGTTTGCAACTTAATATAAAAAACAATTATTTTCTCACTTCTTCAGTAAAATAATTGTTGCATATATTTTGTCTTTTTGAGTTTCAATTTATAATAATTTTTTAGCCCAAATCAATTGAAAATGATATCTTAAAATTGCATTCCTTGAACATTTAAGTTGTTATTTAACTCTTTTGTTAATTTAGCATTTAATTTTAATCTTATTTTTTGCTGACTTTATAACTTTTTGTTTGGTTAATCAAAAGCGATGATGTGTAGTTTACTTGTCGCTTGTTTTGTGCATTATATGCCACGCAATTTTTGAATTCGCAAAGTTTTCCGGCCAATTGGCAGTTGCACTTTGTGGCACATCCGGAAAGGAGCAAGGAAAAATGCCATGGACAGAGCACGCACAAAGCGAAATGAAAACACAGAGACTTAATTTTCCAGCAGCTGGCAGAGCCGGGCCAGTTCCTGGCTACAGCTCGAGCGCAGCAAGTCAATTAATTAAGCAGGCTCCGACACAGAAGGGCGGCAAGAAAACTCAGTCAAAAAGTCAGCAAAAGTGAACATTAAAAGCAAAAAAAAAAAAAAAGAACAAACATTAAAGTCAGACCTAGAGATAGCGTCTGAGATGAAACCTGACTCGCCGTCGGAGACGGGAGTAGGGTAACGCAGCGGGCGTTGGCAACACAAAAAATGCCCCATACGACTAGGAGTACGGCATAGGCCAGAGTTCTGGTTGGGCACAATGGGCGCCAGACGAAGTGTGAAATTGTGTTTGGCTGCCGTTGAGTGCGTTGCCAACTTTTGCTTACATATTTTGCGCTCTGCATTCCGCTTCGTTGTTAGGTAAATTAATTAAACTCTTTTTGTTTGCTCAAAATTACAATTAACGCCTAATTAATTTCGCAAATTTCTTTCATCAGTCGTTGCCGCACTCCGCATACGCACCGTTGCGAAAGCATGTCCTGCTCCGCTGGGCTACAAAAGAAAAATGAGTGCGACGAGACGCTCGCACAAGAAAACCGGAAATGGTCATATTTAATGCCATTAAGGGGATTTGTCTAACTTGCGTTTAATAAGCGTGCGACTGTGCGTGTGTGTGTGTTTGTGTGTGTGATGAAACATTCGCATTCACACAGAATAAATAATTATACGCTTCATTCGACTTAATTGTTTCCGTCGCTGATTCTGATTATGCTTTTAATTGCATGCGTTTTGTGGCACGCACATCATGAATGTGAATCCGAATCAGAATTTGTTTGTGTTGTAGGTAAACTATGCGGCACCTTCGTCAGCCGTGGGTCTAATTTGCCAGTCCCCCCCAAAAATGTATTTTGCATGCAAATTGCGTTGCACAGGGGTTTTGAAATGGGCAACTGGCTAATGAGCTAAGTGCGCGCTTCTGCTTTATGCATGCAAATTCAGTCAGCTTCAGGCTGATAACTGCAGCTGCTAGCTGCTAGCTGGACCCATTCACACGATCTCACTTGCCGCACTTGGCAGCCAGCTTGGCAGCTGGGCAATAACGAAAACAAACAAGAACAGCAAACTGTTTTCAAGTAGTTGAACAGCAAATGCCTGAACCGTGGCTCCCACTTGGCACTTGTTTTGCCTTTCAGTTTGTTGTTATTTGTTTGCCTGCCAAGAGATTGTTTAAAGTTTTCCAGACCTAAGCCGTGCAGCCGGACAGTGCACAAAGGGCTGGGCATTAAGATATGCTTTAATACGCTAAAAATGTGTGGCTGGCGTTCGAAACTTTTGGCGGCCCCCAAAAGTAGGCAACCGGGGAATATTGCGATTATGTATTTACCTGGCAGACTACCAATAAGCCCAGCTGCTGGTGTTTCTTTTGATTTGGGTTTTGTGTATTTTGCATTTGTTTGCTTTGGTTTTGCGGATGTCAGGGTCAGGTTGAGAATTTGCATAATTATTTCATAACTACTTAATCGCCAGCTGAATTATGTATACGCCATGTGGGCGCTCAATTTAATTATATTTTATGTAAGCTCTTTATGCGTGAAATTGCTTACATAAGCAAATGTAATTAAAAACTCAGGTAAACTCAGGCTGCACAGCAAATATATGCGTATGTATGCATGTATATGGTAGACTAGAAAAATGCAAATGTTTAATTCAATTTAACTCGCCGCAATCAACTTAATTTCCATTAATTATGTGAGACGAGTGCTTAGTCGGCTTATGTGGCCCCATGCCCCTTCATGGAAATCGTGCGATTTTGCAAATTGTGGAATTATAATTTAAGCGTATCGTATGAAAAAAAATAAAAATAGCAAAATGAACTGATTGGACGGCCATCTAGTCAAGGTTTGGCTACGTCCGATCCAGGCGAAACTCTGAAGTGCTGCAAAGTCTACTAATTGCATTGCCAGCTGACCAATTAATTAGCAACTGTTTATGGCTCATTACCTGTATTGGTCGACAACGACCAGCCCGCAAAGGCAATCAATCTAATTGACTGTGCATTTCTTTCGTGTAGTCCTTCAAGTGGCAGCTTCTAGCGCCCAATTAAAAATCGAAATTTCATTTAAAGAGTCATTAAACGCAGGCACCGAACGATAACTGGAGGTCAACTGGCGGCCAGTTTAGCCACGCCCTCTTGCTAAACGATTTAGTTATTTTGTCGTTCGGTCAGTGCCACGCCCCGCAAAACACGCATACGCACAGTAAACAGCACGCCATGTACATTGTTCTATGCGCGTTAGTGTGTGAGAGTGTGAGTGTGTGTGGTGTGCAATTGGCTGCTCTTTGGTTTCACAGTAAATTAGTTATGACTGTTGCGTGTTAATCATTAATTAACTTGGTAGATTGCGGCCTAACGAAACGTATCTATTATTGAGCAACCTTAAATGGCAATGTCCAGTTGATTGACAGGCAACAGCAAGTAGGCATCCACACTGGCCACATCCGAACATACATACGTCAACCACTGCTTTGGCTTTGGCTGGGTTTGCTGCTCGGATATGTCCAATTCGTTCAATTACACACCAATTTCGGCTGTCATGAATCATCGACAGGCGTAGATTGGTTTATGAACTGTCAGTTGTGCACAAATTTAATTGACCGATTGCAGCTGGATAGAGCTAGAGCTGAAAAGGCGACAGCTTTCAAACGGGTTAAATTTCTGAATTTTGTTACAGCTAAATTTAAGAAATTTTAAATTTATTTTTTGTGTCAATTACAGGGCATATTTTAGCCTAGCAGTTTACTTTATGGCTTGCGGTCAAATGTTGTAAGCATAATCGCATATAATTTGCCATAATTGCATACACACATTTTTTAATTGGAACATTATTGATAATAAATTGATTTTTTTTGCTTATATTATTATGACTAAAATAAAATAAACATTTAATTTAATTACTAGTTGCAATTGAATACAAAACATGTGATTTAACCGAAAACAAAATGAATTTCCTTAGAATTCCGTAATGTAGGGATTTCCATCAACTGATGAAACAGAATACCTGTACCCAGGGTCATTCGCAATATGAGAACAGCCTTCACATTAAACCTTTTGCCAATCTAAAGAAAATAAAGTACCAGCATACAGTCGGCAGTCAACGACTGCGGCCTACCCTAGTCACAGGAGCATAAATCAAACAATAAATATAAAAGCTGGCATTTCTGGAGTTCTTTCTTTTTG